ACAAAACGCCACCTGATTGGTCCGCAGAGGCTAAAACAAACACAGGAAAGAGCTCAAGTTCAACCAGCTGTTTCAATGTATATTAGTTAAAAAAAGACTCTAATTTCTTACCGGACCTGTCTGCTCTGGAGTCTGCATCACACTGACTGCCGTGTCTCTCTCCCTCTCTCTCTCTCTTGTTCAAACATGCGTGTGGTTTCTCTTCCTCCTCAAACACACACACACACACCGCATATGCAACATGTGTGCCTGAATGAAAAGCACTCTGCCCAAATGCTATGCAGCCCTCACATTGACTGTATTACATTGTGAATATTTGTATGGTGTATCATTTCAAGTACAAACCATAGTGTCCCAAAGCGTGAGGATTGTAGAGTTTCTAGGGGTGTACGGATTGTTCAATCAGGGCTGATACAGATGCCTATCCTACTGATGTTTAATAGCCTACCAGTTTTGCCTCTTGCTGAGTTTAATCACATTTTATTCTTTATGCCTCCCAGTGAGCACTAGCTGTGATTTCAAAGTTGAATTTTGTTTGGGAACACGTTAAAATCAGATCTAAACATATCAGATTTAATTTGAACGCTTTAACTACTAATGAGGTTATAACATCATCGTGTCGAGAAACAAAAGATTTCTTGTTCATGTTAACGTTGAAACGCCAACAGAAATTACATGTTTAACTGCATTTGGGTGGGTTATATCTGGTCCACGTAAAGATGCAACTTTTCTTTTCTAACATTGCTTCACGTCATGTCATCAAGAACGTCCCAGGACATAATAATCGAAGCAGTCCATGTGAGAAGTTGTATTTCTGAATAAGCTATGTAGAGGCGCTGATGGCCTAGCGGTTAGGTCACGGCCAATGTAAGGAGTTTATATAGTCATCCAAGCGGGCGGCGCAGGTTCAAGTCCGACCTGCGGCTCATTTCCCGCATGTAATTTCCCCACTCTCTCCTGGTCCACTACCTGGATATATGCAAAAGCCACCCCACCCAAACAACAACAAAAACAACATGTTGCATCAGGCCATGAAAACAAATCAGAGTTGGTCCAACAGGTGACTTCACCTGCCTCCTCTCTAGTTAATGTGCCAGCATTAAAGTGATGCAACACAACAGATACACATTGACCCTAATGGTACTCTGAAATCTATCTATCTATATCATCAAAACAGCATACAAACCTCAGCTTATGAGAAAAGACAGGTTCAGATTAATTCAGAGGAGTCAAGGCCGTTTTGTGAGGGAGGGACAGTGATTCAGATTTTCACACATCAGTTTCCTGTTTCAACAACTTTTCCTCCTCAGTGTGATTGTGTAAGTAGTTTCCCAGCTTTCACTTACGTCAATTTCTTAACTTCATCACACACACACACACACAACATCTATGAATCTTTGATTTGAGTAAACTCATGCAGTCAGGTCACACTCTCCTCTGCTGGAATATTCCTCTACATGTGTTGTGTCTGTTTGTTAACGATGACATTTGAGGTGAAAAGAGCCATAACAGTAAATGAGTTAATGTCATCCACATGCCCAGATCAAAGTCTGTAGCAGAGATTGTGCCGCTCACGATGCCTTCAGGTGCACTGGGAAATATAAGACGATTCATCTCACTGTTGGAATAAGGAACTATTGAACAAAAGCTGGCATTTTCCGAGCAGACAAACAGGATGTTGTTTCAAAAGTGCTTAATAAGCATTTTCTAATGGTTCCTCTGCGATCTGATGCAAATTAAATTTCTCGGACAAAGTTTTGAATTGGGGGTTTTAGTCAAGGTCTCCTTCTTCCTGTGAAAACAGTTGTGCCAAACAACCTTCCTCTTGACATAAATCAGCAAACACTTTATATAAAAATATTTGTACTCGGTAATAAAGCTCCCTTTGAGGTGTGCAGAGTATTCATGTTATTGGTAGAGAAATCATGGCCGTGCACAAAAGTGTTTATCCAGGAAATAAGGCTGTCCAAATGGAGCATTGAGCATCTGAGTAAAAGATGTCATTACTTCATTATTATGGACAGATCTTGAGAGATCACAGTGGTATTAAACTTTTATGCACAAATTCAAATGTCAAAGTGGACATCTTAATCAAATTTTAAGAAACGTTGCGACCTTGTATACAATAAAAATAGGGACAGAAATAAATCATGAATAACATATCATAATGTAATTTATGATTTATTGCCTCTGGTCACTGCTGTCTCTGGACCAGACAGATAAATATGTCAATAACAGTTTCCCAGACCAATCAGTGAAGCTTTCAAACTGCTGATTTTTCTTATGATAAGCAGCAGAGGCTATACCCCCCCCCTGAATGATCTGGATTTGTTTGGACCAGAGAAGGTAGGCAGTTTTAAGGCACCCCCACACGGCCGTTTTGGACACCCCTTGGTTTGCCAGATATGAGAGCAGTTATCAGGTCAACAGGTGTTGCAGCGATGGAAGCGGGCAAGAAAAGTGGTTCAGATAGAAGTGATTGTACCCGACCTAAAAAGCCTCTGCATGTTTCTAATAAGCTCCACGAGCAGAAACGTGCTCAAACTAGGATCAATATTGGAGATGCTTTTGAAAAATGGAGAGAGGTTAGAACACAGAAAGGTTTACAGACCGATGCAGAGCTGGATAAACACTGAAGCTTCAGTGTCCACCACATGGCAACCTGTGTGCGCCTTGACCTTAGGGGGCGGGGGGAGACAGCTCTCTGCAATGAGTCTCCCATTGCAGAGAGTATAGTTGACCCATGTCCCATCAGTTTACATGGAGTAGGCAGGGTTTATGACCTATAGCCAGTCAGTAGGGGTAGCTCCAAATGTTTGGCTTCACTTTTAGGAAGCTGTCATGTCGTCCTTGTTTTTATACAGTCTATGGCAGTCAAATTCTTAATACACATTTTAGTAGACACAATAACTGGAAATATTCCCTAATATATAATATATAAATATCTGAACATTTGTCCCCTTTTCTTAAAAATGATTTGTGATAGATTATCAACATTAGTCCTGGTGTATTTTAAGAATCCCTTTATGAATCATTGTTTCAACATTTCATCCTAAAAAAAGGAAAATTACCTTAAAAAATGTATATGAAGTCAACGGTCGGCACCTTTAAAAAGCACCTGTACTTTAAGATCACACACATGCTTACAGCTGACACTTAAACAAAAGCACCAATTAGACTTTATAAATCTTTATTAACAAAAAGCTTTAAGGTGTAATAACATTCACCTCAGTTTCTACTGAATCACACTACAAGCCTTTTTTTCCAACAGTAGTCACATCACACAGAGCAGTCATAAAGTGAAACTCCAGCAGCAGCTCTTCCAGTTATAGCAGGAAACCTCAGTGACGTCAGATCCACTTCTGCTTTCACTTCTGTCATTTGACGCTGCATCACACTGCCTGCAGCTTTTTATCTACATCTGTCATCGTCTGTTTATTCAGTGTAGGGTGCACAATGATGCTGAGGTCCACTGACAGAGGACGTTAAGTATTAAAGGAGATCAGGCTGTTGGTGCACTGAGTGTGAATGACACCAGAGTCCTGCTGATGAGTTTGGTGTCGCTGCTATTTAAGATTTTCAGTATTTATAAACCTACGCCTGATATCTGTACATAATTTTGGCTTTATAGTATTGAAAAAGTACAAGAAGTTTCAGAATGGAAAAAGGCTGCAACCTTAACTTTGTGCCAAATGGACCCAACCACATTATGAAGATTTAAATTGATATTTTGTCGCAGACAGACTCAGACAGATTATTATTCTCAGTGTCTGACGTTACAGAAAAGATCTTGATGGAGAAGAAATACTTTTAAAAGATAAAAATTCATTTTTTTGGAGACATAAACAGCGGCTATACACACCTCACATTGTAATCACCAGACATCATTGACAAAATATGTGATTTTTTCCCCTTGCAGAGGTGTTGCTGGTCTACCTTTACCTCAAATTCTTTGTTTCTTTATGCTATTCTGTGTTTCTCAAATACAGCTTTGGAATCAAACTTAAAGGTCACATATTCTCCTCCTTTAAAAAAAGTCTCAGAGCTCCCCAAAACATGTCTGTGAAGTTCCTTGTTCTAAATCCACTCTGATCCTGTATTTGATCATGTCTATAAACCCCTCTATTTCAGCCCTGATCAGAACAGGCTGTTTCTGTGTCTGTACCTTTAAATGTAAATGAGCTGTGTCTGACCACGCCCCCTCTCTGGAAGGACTTGGGTGGCTCGGGCTTTCTCGCTCCATGTCCTATTGTTTACTGTGAGAAGGCAGACTGAGAGGCCAGGTGGGAGTGTGACCCACCTGGGGGAGGGGTTACTGATCTTTGAGATGTCATCAAGGGAAAATCTCCAAACGGGCTGTTTAAGTACACATTTTATGAAAAGTGGAGCAAGCAAAAGAGGGAGAGGATGGAATTTTCTCACCACTGGAGGGTTTGTAGACAGACTAGGGACACATATTAGTGTTAGAAAAACATGGTGAAGTGTATTTTGCAGAATATGTGACCTTTAACATTTAAAACACCAAAGTCACACAATAACACAAACAGATAAAGGCAGCAGTATACCCGCATCTCTGGATGTTCTACAGGCTAAGATCTCTGTTTTTGTCAGTGGAGTCTGGTTAAAAAAAACATCTTACTGTTTAACATTAATGCCTATCTCTGTAGGGTGTCTTCTAGTAAATGTGTCACTTTAAATAACAATCTGAGCCTGACAAAAACAAGGATTATTAGTGGACACGCTTTGATCAGCAGCCTTTGCTCTTAAGGATTTTTTTGCAGCTATTGAAACCGTTTAGCAACTTCTGCTGGTTAAAGCAATTTACAGTCACAATTCAAAAACTTTTTGTACCTTTTTCACCCCCAAAATATGTAAAACCAGAGCCCAGGCTTTAAAAATGTAATAATTCACCCTTAAATAACAAAAAAGGTATGCTAACGGGACAACACAATCTCTTAAACTGTTGTGTAATGAAGGTAAAAATGGGACAGCACACAAACATACTTCCATATGTGTAATGTTGGAGACGTGTTTGTCTGCATAACTGTGTTCACTGGTCCTTCTGATCCAATATTTTCTCTTGTGCCATCAGCAAACTGAGACTGACACACAACCACACATCCTGTAGGGCTTTAAGATCTAATATAGCAGAAGTGCAGACATTACAAAGATACAGACTCCAGCCCGACCTCGGTTAATAGACGACCTTTCTGCAGTGCCACGGTCATCTCCACTTACAGTGTTTCACATCATGTCACTTCATCTCCTCACATGATAACGCTACTTTAGTATTTAAAAAAAATCTACAACTTTTTACACTTTTGATCACAAAGTTTTTAACAGTTTACATGAAATGATCTGGATTTCTTTCTTTGTTTTTTTTTGGTATCAGCAGAAAATATTACAAAGAGTCTCCAAACTCTACTGATATCTGAGTTTATAAAATCTAACGTCATGTACAAATGTTACAGGTAGAATAATTTAGCTCTTTGCATATAGACATGTGCTGGTTGTTTGAAAGGTTGCTGATGGATTCCACTCAAATTAATCTTCAAATTAATTAGTCTCATCTGTCTCCTCATCATCATCATTTGAGTGCCTTAAGGTATATCAGTCAATACAAACAAAACGTCAGTCAGCTACTCTTCCTCCTCCTCCTCCTCCTCTCTCGGTTCAAAATGAGACCAAGTGTTTATTTATTCCTCGAACAGTATTCTACAAGTTTTGACAACACTGAAAACAAAATCATCCTCAGGCCTCTCAGAATATTCGTGTCACCTCTGTCAGTGTAATTATTATATTCATTTAATGATAATATAATTACACTTATGAAGTGCATGACTAACAGGAGTCTGAGTTGCGTCAGCCAAGTTTCCACCGCAGAAATGTCCTGAGGGGACAAGAGACCTTCAGATGAACCAGGGTTTTAAGTTGTGTTAAATTCAGTCTAGAGAGGGATTAAATGAGGTACTAAACTATTGAGTGATTAACATACAACAAACCTCAGTCAGCACGGCCCCCGCTTGGAGAAGCCAGCTGAGATTTATACTCACGAGGTAAGCTATGTACTGCTGCAGACGAGGGGAATTGAAACCCGAACTTAAGGGAGATGAGGAAATCTTCTGTTGTTGTCCACTGAGATATCTTATACATTTATGTGTTTATCGCTCTGTTTCCTGACGGTTTAGTTCAGCGATGCTCTTTGGCAGGAGTCGAACTGGATTATTTTGGTGTTGGTTTTATATAATCCTCTCTGGAAATATGACTGGTACAGGGTTTCTCCTGACTGTTTGCAACAGTACAAAGCTTAGCTCAGCTGTAGATCACCTATTATTGATAAGCACCTCATTAAACCCCTCTCGAATATCAAACTACCCCTTTACATTCTGGAAACATTATTTGACCCACCAAAGAATCGCCTGCTCGTTGGGGTTGTACTTTCAAAGGTGTTAGGTGTTAGGTGATGCATTTGAGGGGCTGAGACTGTGAAAACAAGGTGAAGCTGGAGCTTTAAGTTCCTGAAATACTAGATCCAGGGACTGAAGATTCTTTGTACTTTTGGTGGAAATGACACTTGTTTTACCAAACGTATTGACGCATATACTGGAGTATGAAAATACCACAGTCTGAGATTTCCCTGGAGACACTTGGATGACTGTTTTTGCATAAAAGGTTCTCTCAGGACAAGCAACCAAACAAACACTTCAGTTCAGTCATTAAATGTCAAACTTTTACCAAAACTTTTGAACATGCAAAAACTAAAATAAATCATATCACAGTGGGTCTTGATTCAGCCTGACTATCTCTGTCTCTGCTGTGCAGTGTTACAGCTTGTCTGACTTACTTAGCGTGCAGCAGAACACTCTCCCAAAATGCAGCGGTTCACCCGGCGGTGTGAGTTCTTCATGTGTGTTTGAATGAAAGCCACAACCAACCCCCTCAAGGACACTGCCTCTGTGTCTGTATGTGTCATTATACATACGTGTATGTGTGCGAGTGCGTGTGAAACTAGTGTTGGCTCGGGACAAGCAACATTTCCAGTAAAGTGTCAGAGTGTTGCATGCTGGGACAGAATCTAAAGATGGAGGGAGAAGGACTGTAATTTAACCGGGAGGAGTCCTGTTTATCTCGCTGTTGTCCCATCACTATATCTGTCTCTCCCTCTCTCCGTCTCTGCATCCTTTTATTTTCACTCTCCAAAAAGTCTTCCTCTCTCACTTTCATCCCCCCCTTTTCATTTCATTTCATTTCCTACTCTTTTGTCTTTTCCAGTGTTTGTTTTTAATTACAGGGGAGAGGAAGAGGAGGAGAAACCTGATACATTCAGTCGCTCTGGTCGTTCTGGTCATCTTCACTTTCAGTTCAATCACCCCTCTCTCAGTGAGAGGGGATTCCTGGTGTACAGTTCTGCAGAACTGGTGGCATTTGGGGAAACATTAGCAGAACATTGTGTTTCTCAGCAGTCGAGGAGTTCCAGCTCATAGACTAGGCCTTAATGTAGGATTATGTTCCTTAATGATGCATTAAGTGTTTTGGATTCCAAGAAGACATCAGACAAATTAACTTTCATCTCAATTTCTGTTAAAAATGTGCATCCTCTATAAAGATATCAACATCCTGACCATTTCCAGTGGTTGCAACACTATTGCCAACCCTACTTTGGGCTCAGGCTACTTGCTGGATCACAGTGTTGAAAATAAATTAGCAGAGGCCAATGAATCCAGCGTCCTCAGAGACCACCTATAGTGTTGTGCTCAAGTAAAAATCCTTAAAAAGACGTCCAGTGATTCAGCTCAAATCCGTATTGCATCCCCAGGAGAGAGATTGGGCTTGTGGATAAAAAAAAATCACGAGAGGAAATGGACTCCATGGATCCAGTGGCTGAAGAGCGATTGTTTGTTTGTAGATAAAATCCCTGGTTGCTCTTTAGCTTTAGAAAAATGCAAGCCAAAAGAGCTGGAGAGATGTTTTAATCAGCTGGTGGTGAATGAAATTAATTTTGCTTGTCAATCTACAAAAGTTTGTTCAAAAAAATACAAACAGAGATACAAAGATAGTTTTAAACTCGGCTTTCTCTTCCAGGAATTAGACAGATTTCCAGTTGATGTATTTGATCAATGCTTAACTACAGACCTCTGCAGGTATTTATCCCACAACGTTCCAGTATTCAGCCCCAGCAGACTGTAGTTTAAGTATTCAGTTCCAGTCTTTAGACACAACCACTCCTGTAGTTCCAGTGTTTAGACACAGCCGTACTCATACCACACAGTCTGTGGGTCGTTGTTTGGGTCGGGTGAAGCTGGGGTGCTTTTTGGGCGTTCGGCAGAGCCACACCTCTCTCCCTCACTCTCCTTCTTAAGTTGAGAGGAGTCACCTGGCCGCCCCTCCCCCGACACCTCCGTGTGCTCGTTCGAGTCATCGGGTCGTGTGGCGGGCACAGCTCTGACGGGGCTCACCATGGCGACCTCTCCTCTGTGATGGTGGGGGGCGTTTCCGGGGACACGAGCCCTTCCTCGCTCTCTCTCTGCGTATCGCTCTGTTTGCAGATTAAGAGAGGACGAGTGGTGGATGGGCGGGTTCAGGAAGCTTGCATCTCCGTGCTGATTGGTCGGACCAGCCAGACGGGCTGAAAGAGGCCGCTCTCTCCCGTTAGCGCCTCCCCCTTGTCTGCGAACAACTGCATCCGTTTGTCCTTCATTTACACGGAAGCTGTCAGGTCCATTTGAACGCAGCAAATCAGCCGTGGCCAGGCTGTAAGCTCTGCTCAATGATTGGCCGGTTCTCTGAGTGACAGGCTGGCTGGGGGCAGGGGATTGGCCCACAGGCTGGCGGGGCGAGGGTTTGACGCTCTGGCCTGGTCTCTGGTTGGATGACTGTACAGTGGGGGTGACATAGTTGGTGGGAGTCACCTGGTCCCTGCCGGCTGGTGCAGAGGGGGCGGGACTTCTGGCAAAATAATCAGTCATCAAGTCCTCCCTGCTTCCTGTCGACACCTAGAAAGAAAAATGAAAAATAAACTGAGATAATGTTTGTAAGTTCAGGAAATGCAGCAGGCTGAGGAGTGATATATAGCTCTTTAAGGTTCTGGAAAGGCATGAAATGAAAAAACTTTGAAGTTTCAGAGCACATGAGTAAGATAGATGAGTTAAAATAAACTTGGGAGTGACCATTCCTGTCAAATAAAGCGTCTAAACATGTTAACTAATGACATTTCTTGCACATCTCACTACATTATTGATGCACTTTCATTTCCTTCTTCTGATTCTTTTTTTGAGCAAGAGCGGTAAAAGATTGAACCAATTTTGTCCAATGTTGTGAAACAAAAACCTTGGCTGTAGGGATGAGACACTTGCATTGATTTAAACCTTCTTTCTGAATCATTCTGCGTTCAACACTTGAATGTGTGTTGTTTTAGAGAAAGCTATGAAGGCCTCTCCTTCTCTGCAGGATCACTGATAAGAATTATTATGGCTGATTCATTTCTTTGATGTTGTTCGGACTTAACAGATCGATAAAACGTGAGATATCTGGTTCTGTTGGGGTGATATTCCCACGCTGATATTGCGCAGTCCACACATGTGTAGATGACAGGCTGGAATGAAACATCTGATTTGTAGTCAGGAGGCCGCTTTAAACCGTTTGATTTAGAGGTCAGAAAAAGTATGCTCATATTTGGACAATGATCAGTACATGAGTTTCTGTTGATCATCGCTTCATGGTCCAGCTGTGTGTTCTGCTCTGTTGGCTTGAGTATCACTGGCAGATTATGAAGCACTTACTGGTACTAACAAAAATGAGCATACAGGTCGTTATGAGTCTATTTGGGCTGAGAGGACGCAGCTTATTAAACTTCCAACTACGGTACACACAAACTGTATGATAAACTGTGATGCTTGGAAGGTTGTTATATTTACAATTCAACAATTAATCTAGATTTTGTTTTTTGTTGCAGAAAGCGACGTACATCAGAGAGTTAGTACAACACAAGTATAGATCTAAAGAGGAAGAAACAACGTCAGAAAGTGCGAACAAACGGCTTTAAGTCTGATTTAAGTCCGCTGACAGGCAGCGCACAGAGATTGCTTCGTCTTAAATATTGTCATGGTCATCTTCATCATCATCATCAGTCCAATCACTATCACTAAGTGTGTACGAGTCGTTAAAGAGCTGGGTCTTAAGCTTTTTCTTAAAGGTGAAATGGGACTCTGCAGATCCAATGGATGTTGGTAGTTTATTCCACCACCGGGGGGCGACAGAGGAGAAGAGTCTAGTCAGCGTCTTAGGACCCTGTTGTGAAGGTTGGATCAGACACCTTTCATTGGCAGAGCGTAGTGGGCGGGAGGGAGTGTAGACCTGGATATAGAGTTTAGGTAATGAGGAGACGTTTTTGTGGCTGTTTTGTAAGCGAGCAGCAGAGTTTTAAATTTGATGCGAGCAGTAACTGGGAGCCAGTGTAAGGAGATGAACAGCAGAGTGACATATATACCAGACACGCTGCTGTGTTTTAGATCATCTGAAGAGGTTTGATTACGAATGGAGGAAGACCGGCCATGAAGGATTTGAACTAGTCAATAGGTGATATGACAAGAGTCTGAACCAGGAGCTGTGCAGCATGTTCTGACAGGTAAAGTCTGATCTTCCTGATGTTGTACTGGGAAATTTGACATGACCGGGCAATCGAGGCCACGTGAACCTTAAATGTTAGCTGGTCATCAATCATGACACCCAGGTTTCAGGCACGCTTTGTGGGCATTAGTGAGGCTGTTCCAAGCTTGATATTGATCTGATCTGTAGCTGCATTGAGGGACTGGCTGGGATGACAAGAAGCTCAGTCTTTGATAGGTCAATGTTAATTACATCATCGACCTGCACACTCACCCACAGTGAATGTTTCAGACTATTACCTGCTGCGTTCACACATAAGACACATGCACCCCTCCTGGACAATATTGGGTGTGCATGTGAATGTATGAAAAAGTAGACCAGAAAAAATGTATATATGTGTTTGTGTATCAGAGTCACAAAAGTCAGCTTAAAAATTGCCCTTTTTTTCATCAGGCAGAGCTCCAGTTTTTGGCCGGTATGAGGATTTGGACCAGCCAATGACAAACCTCAAATGTGTAACTATATGACGAGCAATACTTCTGACAGATTGTTTGTGGAGTTAATACATAACTCCTAATTTTCCATTGGCTCTTTAAGTTTTCCCACACAGCGTCGTCCTTGAAAAAACAGAAAATCTACAGTCTCAGATCTAATAATAACCAGCCGTCTCTCTTCAAATGGACTCTGCAGCCAAACCAATACACTTTTTTTGGGTACAGAATAAAACACAGCTTTTAGAAAACACATGCCACTGGCTTTTATTTTTACTCTGATATTTGTAAAGTAGGAGTTCTCTCTGTGCTGTTAATCTCAAGACAGATGCCCCCAGATGAAGACAATGTCCCCATGTATAATTTTTATATTTAAAAAATCTATTTTTAGATCCAAACCATTTTCCACACTGGACATAAAGTATAATTGTTTAACTCAATTATTTCATATATTTATAATATCATAACTGTACTGTGAGTTTTCTTCATGTTTAATGAATCTCCCTGTTGAAGCTCAGATTTCAGGGACTTGATGCGCAGAAGCAAAGTCATCCAAAGCTTGCATTTATTATCAAAGTTTTCAAGTTGCTGACTTCAATCTTCAGGCCAACATCAGCTGGCATCACCATCTGTCTCCTGTGATGATTACATTTATCAGCTTATGATCCCGTTTTACTGAGGGAGGGAGCTTCTGATCAGATGTTCTTTTATGAATACCTATTTTAAAGAACGTGCACAGCAGGTTTGCAAGGTTGAAGGAACATACCATGAAAAATGAATCAAAACTCTGTGGCAAACTGAGAATAACTTTACTGTATTTTATTGTGAGTAAACACATTTTGTCTGTAGCTTCCTCAGGTTCACCCAGCACCTATTTTAAAGTGTTAACACTGAGGCTATTTTTTAACAATCTGATCTAAAAGGTTTATGTTGAAAGCTGATTCAAAATGACTTGAATATAATTTGTTCCTGGTTTGTTAATATTTTGACCTGTCCCAAATCCACCCCAATATAAAATGCATACTGTACTTCATATTTGCTGTTAAGGTTACTTTTGGGAAAAGTATCAATATATCCTCTGGCTGCCGCACCCTTCATCATGATGCCTGACTGGATCTAAACCGCCACCCTGGGGTTTTTGTACCACCTCCTCATTTGTTATCTTACATTGAATACCTCCACACTTCTTATGTGTGTATTAAAATATAAAAACAAATGTCTGTGTGTATTACCGTGGGGGGAGACTGTAGGTTGCTCTCTTGTAGAAACTGTTCCAGCGTTACCATCTCACTTCCAGGAGAAGACGAGCGGTTCTTCATCCTGACCCCTGCGACCCGCTGTGGCTGGGCCCTCTGAGGCGCATGGTCGTATGGAAGGGTGGAGCTGCGCGACAGGGTCTGCTGTGATTGGCTGAGACCCATGACATCATCACTAGAGAGGCTGGCCGAGCGAGGCTGACGATCAGATGTGTCTAAGAAAAAGGAAATTTTATGTTTTACTAACTGTAGAGGGTACCAGCTGATTATATCAGAAATATCCTGCTGATAAGTGATTTAAATGTATGGTTAAAGTTTGTGTGCACCTCTGCAGTTGACGGGGGAGTTGGAGCTTGAGGTGTTGCGGCTGAAGTCAGCCGATCCTGGGCGACCTCCAGGGTTGACATGGTGACCAAACATGGAGTCGGAGGCGTTATGACGAGAGTCGTCATCAAATAACAGACCTGAAATGTTACAGCACTGTCATATAAACACTCACACTGTCTCTGACTGAAGAAGAAAGATCTTTCATATCACTGCCGTGGTTTACCTCGGGTCTGTGGACGGAACTGGTCCCAGTCTGGAGTTGTTGTGTGGACCCAGTGAAGGGGACTGGTGGCTCGGAGTGGAGCTCATAGCTTTACGACCTGAAGGCAGAAACTCAGAGAGTTTACTTAGACAGCACTGGACTGGAAAGCAGGATTCAGGACTATACAAAGTGTTTGATTTAAACATGTAGTGCCTCCTTTAATCTTAAATTTAAAGCATTATTCAAAACAAACTAAACTAAATTAATAAAAAGTTTGACATATTCAAACTGAAATTATTTATTGTTGGAAAATCCTCTTTCAATCAAAGCAGATGCTTTCACATGAAATCACAGAATCGCCTTTAACACATAATTGTGTCTTCAGTCTTAATGGACTTGCTCAGTTCTGCAGCTGGACCTAACATGTTTACTAAACGTCAACGACCTTTTCTGTATTTATTACCTTGTCCATGTGCATCCTCTCCGTTGATACTCTCGTTGCTGCCTCCTGGAGTGCTGCTGCGATAGACACCGCGGCTCCTGTCAGTCAAACCTGCAGACCAATCAGAAAGTTGTTAGATAAATTCTGGTCCTCGGGGCCAAACTATGGTCAGAAGTAACGGGTGTGATTTTAGCAACACAGAGGAGCATGAAAGCAAAGCAAGACATGGGGAGTGTGTTCAGTGATTCAGGACACAGAGAGTTTACAAATCACTGTGATATCAGATGTTACTCAGTGAATGTATCTGATTCTCATAAAACTGTGGCAGTCCTTATCCCTCAGTGACTGTGAACACCTGCACTGGGGCTACAAGTACATTTAAAGTTACTGCATTATAGTGACCAGGAATCCTTTGTTTTTACCACAGGCGATTATTGGTGACAACCATACACTGTAAATATAAATGGACCAAGCCATAGTGATGTCACTCATCTGCTACTGCATGGGGCTTTGGAGTCCCATTGATGGTTGTCTCCATGCTGGAAATGTTGTCTCAACCTAGCTTTCAGTCGACCTCATGACAGACTAAGAGCTGGAGCTGAGGCGGGTTTTAAGCCTCCTATCAAACCGTTGCACCCGCCTGTCAATCAGGGCAGCTATGCGCCTTATAGTGAATAACTCTCATCATTCATGATGCTGCTCCACTTTTCAGAAAGGTCATTTGAAGATTTACCTTCATGACATCACAAAGGGCAGTAGCCCCTCCCCCAGGTGGGTGACACTCCCACAGCTAGGTGTTTGTTCTGCCCTCTGAGTCTGCCTTCTCACCGTAAACAATAGGACATGGAGCGAGAAAGCCCAAGTCCACCCAAGCCCTTCCAGAGAGGGGGAGTGGCCAGACACAGCTCATTTCCATTTAAAGGTACAGACGCAGAAACAGCCTGTTCTGAGCAGGGCTGAAATAGAGGGGTTTATAGACATGATCAAATACAGGATCAGAGTGGATTTAGAACAAGAACCTTCACAGACATGTTTTGGGGAGCTCTGAGACTTATTTTAACTGGATGAAGGAGGAGAATATGTGACCTTTAAAGCTAATAATAAAGGTTAAACGTTTTGTTTTTTTCCTAGCACGTATACAGACAGACAATAGTGAAACAGGGGTGCTGGGTAAAAAGTTAGCACTAATATTGTGTTTGTATTAACGGCATAAAAAACATCTCTGCAGCAAAGCATTTTGCAGGCAGCAGATCTGTTCTCAGGCAACTCAACTCACAGACTCAACAAATTCAGCTTTCACAGAAACACACTCAGCAGGTTAAAAACTTTGGGAAGTGAGAGCACAAAAGCATTTTTTATCAGATAGACACACTAAAGTGATATGAGCATAAGCGGACAAGCCTGGCGTGATGGGAAACGTTCATGAGCGCACACACACTCACAACAACCGACTCTGCACACACTACTTACTAGTCATACTCGCTGGTTCACAACCGCAACATGCATCTGTGTGTGTTTGCTCTGCATGTCTGTTTGTATGATTGAGGATAGTGCTTTAGTGTTAATGTAGTGCATGTATGAGAGTCACTTTGTTGAGTCTTATGTGGAGGTGGCAGTGAGGATGATGATGATGATGCTGATATGTAAGATTTAAGAAGATGATGAGGAGGAGGATTTTTAGAAAACTCCATTGGCTGACATCGTCTGGCAATTGAGGACGTCAGCTGTGATGTCAGTGGAAGACCAGAATCGCAGACGTCTGGTGAGAGAGAGGGGGGGGCGGGAGGAGGAAGAGGAGGAGGTGGAAGATGAAGTGGGGGAGGTGGGGGAAAGGAGCTTGTCTTGACTTTTACTGCGGAGGAAACGGAAGCGTTTTGGATTGGGAGGAGCTGAAATGGAGAGAATAGAGGAAGGAGGGAGAGATGGAGAAATGTAAAGAAAATGATGAAACAATGAGAGTCAGTAAATTAATTAATTAATTGAAACATCGTTAATTATGTGATTGACAGAAATGATAGATATCATGCAAGAAAACCCCCATTAGAAAAACAACAAGAAAACAGAAGAGACCAGTTTAAATCCATGCATTTACTCATCACTGACCTCAACTCACTGTGAATTTAAACGCAGTTTGAGTGCTGGTGTAAAGTTCTGATGTAGGTAAAACTAGCTTAGCATAATTGTGTTTCCATTTACCTGTCAAGGGAATATTATTCTAACCTTTAATACTGCAAAAAATCAGTACATTACACATGTTTGAAATGGTTTTGAGGGAGCAAACATGCTTTGTTGCAAAGTAAAGTTTGGTCAGAAGTTGGTGATGCAATCCTGAAGAAACATGAAATATTTATCATACTTATAAAAGCTATTTAAAGTAACACCTTCTCGACTAACAGTGAGTTGAGATCAGACATGAGCACAAAAGTAATTTCATATTAGAACAACAAAAAAGAAATCACACTGAAATGAAATAAAAGACAGTTCTAGCCATGCATTAGAAATCAGCTCTATTGTTTTAGATCCAAAGAGGAGTGAGCGTCACCTTAATATAAAGTGTTTGTCTTAGTATGAAATGTTTGAACCAAATACTTAATGAGCTTGTATCAAGAAGACCAGTTAAAAACTGAGATGATACAAGTAAAAAAAAAGAAGATGTTAATACCCGCTTCGATACCACGCAACAAAAATAGAAGTTCTAGACACTCACTATTAGGTAATCTTATTTTAAACAACTCAAAATTGCAGGGAAATGTCTGCAAACTATCTTATATGCACAAATACACAGTAAACCTCTCAGTAATAAAATGTTACTGATGTATTTGTGAAATTTAGATAGTGTGCATGAGGCCCCCAGAAATAGGATATGTAGACCTGTTTCAAAGTGTTTAATCTCATTTATCAGATATAATCCTCTTGTGCTTTGGTTGAAGATGTGACAGAAAATCTGAAGTTTAATTAAAGCTTCAAACTGTTTTACTACTATTGATCATGAAAATAACGGAGATTGTTTTATTTTAAAACACTGGTATTGAAAAGCATCAAAGAATTGAAACAACAACCTTAATATGAAATTTGCCGTGAATCAGAAATGCAAAACTCAATCAATCCTATGGAGTATGATTTACGCTGAGAACCTCTGATGAAGCTTAAATAAGAAATCACAGCTGGCTGCTCCCGAGGAGAACATGACCTCTATGTACAGAAGTTTCAACCATAAATCAGAACAACCAAACTCTGCTCTTACTCCTCCAAACAGAGGATGCATATAGCTCATAAATTATACCTCTGCTGACTATATTTAGCATACATTATTGGATGCAAGTATCTCTTCCTCTGACCCAGATGTGTTTATGTTTTTATTTTGATTCCAGTATGCTGGTCTGTTCTCTGTCACTGCAAAGCACTCTGGGAAGAATTCCTGCTGCCACTTCAGATTGCTCTGAGTTATTCTAAAATGCCTGCCAGCATTTCGTTCCCGTCTTCTGTGACTGATTGTCCCAAACACTCAGTGAAATCCCGTTAACCAAAAGAGCCAAGAAAAACCTAAAACTGGATTTTCACTGTTGTTGTTTTTTTCGCAGGACGTCAAGTATGAAAGGGTTTCACATTTATTTTTTAAAACCTAATCCAGACTCTGTATCCATAACAACACGTCTGATCATAATCAAAACTTTGTGAAAGGGCTTCTTGTTGTCCTTTTATGTCGTCATGACAACAACAGAAGCTTAGGTGAGGTGTCCAAAGAAGTCTGAGAAACAGCCCTAAAATGTAGTTGATTTTACTAATGTTTAATAAAACAATATCAATCAATCTGTGTCAAAGAAGCATTTGAGCCGTGTTTAAAATTGACTCTGAAAAAACGACACTGAACTGAATCCATGAAGGTTTACTGTTATTGTACGATGCTAAAGTATAAAAGGAGCCGTACATAAACTATAAAAATGCACTTTTTCGAATTCTCATAAGTTTACAACAAATCAGTTTTGCAATTATTTGAGAATATGTCTGCGTCCAAATTCACACACTTAAGCACTGCTCACTACCTCCTACAATGAAAGTTCTCTGTGGACTATATGCAGTGAACTCATCGGCTCAGAGGCTGCCGCTCGATCATGCTCCTCCTGTCCATCCGCCATCAGTCAGTCAAACATTACATCCTGCACACTGAAGCATGTCAGCAAAATGCATGGTGACATAGTGCTTGGTTGGTCTCAATCGGTTGTACGTTACTTGTCACAGTGCATTGTGGGATTCAATGAGTCCATTATACAAAGTGTAAAAGTGCTCACTCAGCAAAATACTACAAGACGGCAAAGTCATTATTAAGTTAAACTGTTGGATTTCTGACCCAGCCTGTAGTTTTGTCTTTTATCTCTAATTAAAGCTCACTGTAAAAAGCTGAAAATCTCCTGAAAAAGGAGATCCGGATCAACTTGATTAAGCATTAAAAACTTCCTCAGAAATATGAATAATTTAAAAAAACACTAAAACCTTCTTTACATGATTTAGTACCACTGCTATTTACTTTTTATTTTTTACTGTCAGAGCAGGTCCTTGTATCAAAGACAGCAGAGAAAAGATACATTGGAGGTTTATTGATTGAAGACAGAAGTGTAAAAGTAAATGTGTTGGTCTACAGCACCCTCTAGAGGAGCCAGTGGGAAGCACATCTGCTCCATTATAATGTTTTATCAGCTTTTCTTTGCTTCCACCACCCATAAAAAGGGAACCTCCGATATTTATTTGTCCTCTGTTGTGTAAAACAAATATATTTCCCTTACTGTGAATGTTCTCCCTGCGAGGATAAATACATGACAAACCATTTCCTTGGCTTTAATGCTCTCTAAGCAGGGTTGTGTTTTTGTGTTTGTGAGGCGTGTGAGATTGTGTTTACCTCTGCTGATGGGCGTGAGCGCTGGACTCTGGGGTCCCAGGATGGGGCTAGTGATGTGGTTGTTATGGTTACTGTGGGCACTGCCGCTGTCCTGTGTGTCGCTGGCTGTCCGCTTGGGGATTGGGGGAGGGGTTTCAGGGGGGAGGAGGGGAGGCGGGGCAGGTAGTGGGATGTCCGGGGCGCTCTTTGCTCGCTCTCTGTCTTTGGCTCCGTCCTTATCTCGGTCACTCCCTCGCTCCCTGCTGCTCTCCTTTCTGGGTTTAATCAGTTTGGCTAAAGCTTTGGCTCCGGACCACTGACTCCTCCTGACAACAAATATGTATGTTACAAAATCTGAAGCACTGCACACATATAGTCCAAAGGTGTTGATAAAAGTTGTCTTTTTTACTTTTTTGGTGTTGGGTCGTAGAACTTGTACTGATCCATGATCTTCTCTTCTAGCTTCTCTTTCTGACGACGCAGAGAGTTCAGCTTATCTCTGAAAAGACAAAGATACAGATTTAGTTTCTTCCTGGGGATTTTTCTTAATTCAAGGTTGATTCCAGTTTATGTTTTTTACTTTGGCCCTGTTTTCAAATATTTTTAACAAAAAGACAAAAAGTTACAAAATGGTTTGGAATTTCTTCATTTTGATGCGTTTAGCCAGTATTTCTGAACATTTCAATGTTGCTTTATTTGTGTAGTTTTTATTCTGCTTGTGATGTTGTGAACAGTTACATGTAAAGTTTCTGCTCCTGGTGATACAGCTCTTTGCTCTCCATGCTCCTCTCCAGCAGAGTGTGGTTCTGCTGACTCAGCAGGTTGATCTGACTCAGGAGGTGGTGGTTCTCCTCCTCCAGGTTCCCCTTCAGTCGACTCAAAAGCTAAAAACACACACGAACACAAACAAAGTTACCCTGAAGAGTTTTACAGTCATACCGCTGTGTGTGTTTCCTGTTTTCACACCGCCTCGGGGTAAAGTTAAGTGTCCTGTTTACCTCACAGTGGTTGTCCAGTTTGGTCATAGTCAGATCCAGGCCCTGGTGTTGCTCCTTTAGCGAATCGTACCGTGCCATCCATCTACTCGCTTCCAGCTGGGCGGAGCTTAATGAGCTCTTCATGTCGTTCATGCGCTGCTGGAGACCCTCACACTGCTCTGTCTGCTGGGATTGGCTCCCTGTCAATCTATGGGAGGAAATAGAATAAGTCAGGAAATAGGGAAAGATACTTACTCTCAGACCTTTCTCTGCACTAAGCCTATACTGTAGCTAAACCAGTTTTTTTTATTGTGCCTTTACAGATTTTTAAGTGCCAACAGTAGCTCTACTCAGTCTGCCGTTTCAAGCCGTCATATTTACTCCCCTGTGACGTTTCACCTTCAATCTGAATGTTGTGGAGGCGTAATGGGGGGACGATGTGATCCCCCCTCTGTGCCGTCTTTGGAGGTAGTAACTGAGACGTTACAGAGAGGGGAGACGGTTTCAGCAGAGCCAGCAGGGGGAGCCGCAGCACTGTGTGTTTGTGCATGTGTGACTGTGTGTGTGTGTGTATGTGGAGCGCCCTGTGTGCCGTGCTTCCTCAACACCAAAACACAATGTGAATACACAGACTGGGATGAAAGTATAACGCCATCGTGGTTAATCAATATAGATTTTCAAAGACGCGATGACGGCTGAGCTTCGTTACAGCACTTTGAAAGGGGCTACTGTGAAACTCTGATTTGCAAAAAAAAAAAAGAGTGTAGCAGAATATGAAATGATGGCTACCCTACTCAGTGATAGGCTTCCTCTTCAGGTCGGACAAACCAGTCGCTGCTGGTCGACTCAAAATACGTCAGTAATGGTGCACCAGCAATGAAAATGAACTTAAATATTTCCCCTCTTAGAAGTCACTGGGTCACAGAGGAACCCTTTACTCCTGTAAAACACCAGTTAGTCAACTAAAGAGGTTTGCCAACTTTCCAATGTACATTTATTTTGTCAGTGTAAGAATGACTGTTGTTACAACTTAATCACCTGTCCACTTCTGCTTTTAGCTGCAGATTATCTTGCTGTAGAAGTCGATTCTTCTGGGTCTCCTGGTTCAGCTGCTCCTTTTCTTTCAGTCCCCGTCCCTCCTGCTCCTCCCATTTGTCCTTCTGCTGCAGCAGAGTACAATACCTACCGACACACACACACACACACACACACACACACACACACACACACACACACACACACACACACACACACACACACACACACACACACACACACACACACACACACACACACACACACACACACACACACACACACACACACACACACACACACACACACACACACACACACACACACACACACACACACAGAGCAAAGGGGTTACTTATAATGGAAAGTGACTGTGACGTCTGAACTTCTGTAAGCATCATGACTCTCTTTCTGTACAATCAACAATCAACTCAACAAAACACATCACTGAGCCTCTTCTCTACTCTTTTTCCTCACAGATTATTTTCTTCTTGTGTGGTAACTCAGAGTTTAATCTCTGAGATCTCGTCATCATTCAAGGATCGTTCACCACATTGTGTCTCTGCACTGTTCCTAAAAGGTTTTGTGTGTTATCCGCTCACTTGCTGTGTAGCGTCCTGTGATCGTTCTCCAGCGCCCTCTGTTTGGTCTTCAGCGTCGTGTGCTGACTGATGAGCTGCTCGTATTCGTGCGCCTGCCTCTCGTGAACGCTCAGCAGCCGTTCGTGGTCACTGAGCACGCCCTCTCTGGCTCGCCACGCCTCCTCGCGCTGACGCTGCCACGACTCCACCTCCGTCTCCAGGGCGCTGACTTGACCCTGCAGCACGGCATTCTGGGCCATGAGAGACGCACTCTGCGAGGCGAGTGTGGAGTTCTCCACCTAAAACACAGAAGAAGAAACATTGTAAAAACAATTCCACCTAAATCCCAGTTTGACAACAATATGTGACTCATCTGATGCTCTTTACTTGTAGTTTTGCAGTCTGAGTGTGTAAGGAGGAATTCTGCTCCTGCAGGGTGCTGGTGTGTCGTTGCAGCGCCCCCATCTGGTTGTTCAGAGACGTGTTCTGGTTCTCAATCTGTTTGAGCTGTTCCTTCAACAAGCTGCTTTCCATCTGCAGGGAAGCGTTCTGCAGAAACCAGTGACACCAAAATAAATAAAAACCATGAAAAGAAAACACAAAATGTATAAATATGAGGGAGATAAAGAATCTTCTGTGACAATGAAGGCCCAATGAGCAAGAAGATAATGTTAAATACATTAAATGGAAACAAATATGACATGTATATTAAGGAAATTCTTGTCCATGTATGGTACCAGTATGTATCAAGTATAAGAAAATAAAAGACTGAAAAAATCAACAGACTGATTTCTGCCTGCAGGTTGGCATTCAGGGGGAAATTATACAAAGACTATAAAAATCACACAAAAGCTAAATAAGAGGCAAATAAATGGCCTCTTGTGACAACCAGCATCCAATGATTGAGCAGATAACTTCTTTTTTAAACTGATTATATAATGAATATGTAGCGTACGTTATCAGAAAAAAATTTAAGAAAATAAAATAAGATGTGAATTTAAATGTGTGAGAGAAAGTACAACGACATGTCGCTATATGGTTTTCATTACAGACTTTAAAAAGGACAATCTTACATTCTTTTCCACATCGATGAGATGATCTTTGATTCGTAGCAGCTCAGCAGTGGCTGACCCCTGACCTCTGTCACCTCCCGAGCGCTGCTGGTAGTTGTGGTTTTCTTCTTCTTCTTCCTGTAGCTGACGCTGAGTTGACCCAGTCTGCCGAGCCTACAACAATAAATTTCATCACATGGAAACGCTCTCTACAACACAGTATCTTAAAATACACTACAGCTAATAATAACAGTTCACAGCTGAATTACAAAACAATGATGTCAACCTACTTTATGTATTTGACACTTTAAATAAAGGTACAGAGGCAAAAAGATCAAGTCTATTATGTAAAAATATTTTTTTGATAAATAAGGGTTCTACATATTTCCTGTCCATCATTATGTGCCGAGGGAAACACTACTGAAAGTCTCATACCAGAAGAGAGGGTCACATTACATGTTGGTTAAACTGGTCAAATGTTTGTTCATTTGTGCCCAAATGCAAAATATCAAGATTTGGAGAATGATTTTTTTAAAGGAATTCAGACAGATTAAAGCTAACACATAGTATATGTGCTCTTACATTGGCTAGTTCTGCACGTAGCGTTTTGTTGAGTGCGTTGCTTTCTTCTACTTTCTTCTCTAGATAGGATATTTTCTCCTCTTTAATCTTCATCGTCTGTTGGACAGTTTCCTCCAGCCGAGACTCCAGCAGCCTGTACCTGCTGACATATACACACGATACATTCATCAAACAGCCCAGATTCATGTTCAACGTCTCAATCTGATAAATAGCCTTTGTAATGTGAGAGTATGTCATCATCATATTAGAAAAACTAATCTACCTGTCCTCCAGAGTGTGCTCCTGCTGCAGCAGTTTCTCTCTGTTCAGTCCGATCTTCTCCAGTTCTTCGTTGAGTCTCTCTAACTCGACACTCTGCTGCTGAACGCTCAGCTTCTCTGACACCAATTCCTACACACACACACACACACACACACACACACACACACACACACACACGTAATTATGAAACTGCTGACACATCTATGTCCACATTCAGAAAACAAAATGCACGGTAGGCTTAGAAGGATGCATATAATAACCAATAGTAGTAAGTGTTAATTAACTGATAAAGCAGACTATGAGCACAAAACAAAAGCTAACTTTACCACTGAAGTACATAAAAAAGAAATAAGAACTATGCAGCGGTGAGTCTCTGCAGACTTTTAATGGATGAGTCACCTCACCTCTCTCAGAGTAGCCAGAGTCCTCTTGTCAATGGTCGCCTGTTTCTGCAGCTCTTTGTTCTCCCTCTCTAACTCCTTTGCTTTGACCGCCACCTCCTTCATCCTCTCCACCTCCTTACTCAGAGATGTGCCCTCCTTCTTCACCGTAGCCAGCTTCCTGGTTTTCTCCTCCAGCTCCGTCTCTTTGCCCTCCAGCAGCGTTCTGATCCTCCAGCTCTCCTTCTCCAAGTGCTTCCTTCCCTTCTCCGACTGCTCCAGGTCCAGCTGGATCTTCTTCCTCTCTTTGTCACCTTCCTCTCTCCTCCTCCGCTCCTCCTTCAGTTCTTCCACTTCCCTTTTAACTTCCTCTTCTCGAGCCTGCACCTCCTGCTTCTCTCTCTCTACCTCCTCCCTCTCCTCTTTGCTCCTCTGTACTTCCTTCTCTAACCGATGCTTTTCCTGGTTCAGAGCCGCCACATTCAGCTCCAGCCTCTCCGCCCTCTTCTTCTCTCCTTGTGCCTCCTCTCTCGTCGTCTCCAGCCTCCTCTGCAGCTCCTGTGTCTCTCTCTGTGACTCTTTGTGCTCCTCCTGTAAGGTGGCCAGGCGTGCGGACGAGGAGCGCACGTTTTCCAGGGAGCAGCGGAGGTCCAGGTTCTCCTTTGTCAGAAGGCCGTTCTCCGCCTCTTGCTTATCAAGTCGCTGCAGCTCCTTCTGGTTCTCCTCTGTCTCCCGCTTCAGCCTGTGCACCTCCTGCTCTAAAGAGGACACCTGCTTCTCCAGAGTTTCTGACCGCTCGCTGCATGCACGCAGGGAGGCCACCTACGAGACAAATAAAGAAGCATGTCTTATTTTCTTCTTTAAATAAAAACACTTCCATACACTGATTGAAGAGAATGTTCCATCTTTATCACCTCTCTGTTCAGAGCGTCCCTGCTCCTCTCCAGCCTCGCCGCCTCCCTCTCCACCTCCTCACACCGCCCTGCTCTCTCCCTCAGCCTCTCCGACTCCTCATTTGCCTGTTTGAGTTGCGTTTCCAAGCTGGCCAATCGGGAGCTGGTATCAGTGATGTTCTGGTGCAGGAGGCGGTTCTCCGTCTCCACCTCGCGGACCCTCGCCACGTTGTTAGACTGAGCTCGCTCCTGAAGGGAAGCCACCGCGTCAGAGAGGTGCTGCTTCTCACTCTCCAACTCTGAGATCTGATTGGACACGTGGAGCAGGATGTCAACAAAGGATGCACTTCTTTAGTCTTACAATGAACATTTATGTGTGGTTCTGTGAACTACCTGCTGGTCTTTCTCTGCCTTCAAAGAGTGCATGTCTCTCTCCAGCATCTGTTTCTCCTTCAAGATTTCCTCTCCCAATGACTCCATGTCCTGATTGGTCAGTCTCTCCTGGTCCAACAAACCCTGGAGACGATCCAACTAACAAGAAAGAAGATAAAAAAATCAGAATCAGAATGAACTTTACTGTCACTATACCAGGATACATTGAACATTTGGATTCCACACATCTCTGTACTAAAGAAACAATATAAATAAATAGTTAACAGTACAATAACTTAGTGAACTGACAATTCTGAAGATATGTTATATAAAGAAACAAAGGTGTTTTAGAGCAGCAGATCAAAAGCTTATTGCAGTATATGCTGAAAATATTAGTAACATTAATAAAAAATACAAGAAATACAAAGAAAGAAATCTGTTTTCAGTGACATCCCTGTTTTGAAAACAAACACTATCTTCACTTTTTTCTCTTCTCCACAGGATTCTAATGACACTTTAAAAAAAATATACTTTATTAATCCCGAGGGGAAATTCTGGGGAAATTCTGGTTTACACTCTTTTATTGTGAAATATGCTTCTCACACAACTACCAGACCAACTTCAATATTTTGGTCCTCACTTGGACTTGAGCTGGCAACCCTCCGATTTCTAACCCAAGTCCCTACCGATTGAGCTACTGCTGTCCCCAAATAATAAAAGACGCTTGTCTACTGCCGCCTTAAACTGTTATTTTGTCTATCTTCTTGCATGATTTCAATGTTTAAATGGTTAGTATGGATCAGGATATTTGTGTACTACACACTAACACTAAAAAAAGACAGGAATAGACAACACTTGTATCCTGTAAGGTCAAATTATTGGTTGATTGAAAGGAGTCAGACAGTCCAAAAGAAAGCGATTTAAAGTCGGGTTCTGGTTTCAGAAAAAGCATCTTCCTCTCCTAGTGAGAAAAACAAGAACTCTGAATGTGCAAACTTCAAACAGGGAGAACCATTACAGTCATTATGCTTTCTGCTGTGCAACCTAAAGGAGCAATTAGTCATCTAAAACCTAAAACAGTTAAGAGGGGCCCAGGCTTCAAAATGACAGTATTCCCCTTTAAAGCTCCTCTTACCTTCTTGCTGAAGCTCTGGTTCTCTCGGTCAAGCTCCTGGGTGTGGAGCTGCTTCTCCTGCAGTTGGTGGTTGTCCTCTTTCAGTCTCTCTATCGAAGCCTGAAGCTCCCGGTTCTCCTTCTCAAGCTTCAACACTCGACTGGAGACGCACTCATTCAGCTCATGGACCAACGACTTACGAGCTGCAGCGGAGGAAGAAATGTAAACAATAACATCTCTGGACACCAAATAAAACAGGACTAAACAAAACATCTCATGAATACATAAATGGTCCTTACTCTCTGTGTTGTCGTGGTTCTTGGACAGCTGCTCCAGCTCCCAGCCAAGATGAGCAGACTCATTCATGCTCTGCTTCTGACCGATCTCCAGCAGCATGTTCTCCTCCACCAGCTCCTCCAGCCTTCTGCGCTCATTGTCTCTCTCCTGTAAAACATCAATGAACACACTCAGGGCTGAGGTTGCTAATGGGCAATATTCTGGGGCTGACATGTCAGGACTAAAACGGGAAAAAAACATATTTTTCATAAAGTTGTTTTGTTCCGATATTTGGGTCTTGATACAATCTAAATTGTATATAACTAAAGGATATGTTAATCGAGAGCTTTTAAAGTAGCCTATCTTATAAATATCTGATAATGTCACGGTGTAGTACCATTTCCAGGTCGTGTATTTTAGCTCGCAGCAACAAGTTGTCTTTCTCCAGCGTGTGCAGTTTATCGCAGCGCCCTCTGGAGGCTGTCAGCTGCTCCTCCAGCAGCACCTTCGTCTCCATCAGAGTCATGTTGTCCTCTCGGAGCTCCTGCAGGACCACACACACACGCACGCACACACACACACGCGCACACGCACGCACACACACGCACACACGCGCACACACACGCACACACACGCACACACGCACACACACGCACACACACGCACACACACGCACGCACACACACACACGCGCACACACACGCACACACACGCACACACACGCACACACACGCACACACACACACACAGTAAGTGGACTGCCACTGCCAGCTGCCGAATCCGTCCATATTTTGTTCAAGTCCCTTTTGTCAGCTGAGAGGTTTGTGCATTCTAATTTAATTTAATTCATTTAATAACAGCAACAAGCAAATTAGAGATTATGGCTAGAAGAAATGCTGCTCATAAATCATATGAACAAGATGTATAACTGTAAGTCAACCAGGTTTGTTAACTATAGCTGCACATGGTTAGTATTAACTCATTTGGATATGAAATTTCAAACTATAAAAGAACAAAACAAAACAAAACATGCTAAGTGTATATATTTATATTTAGAGAGGATGTGAAGCCGTCATTTCTTACCTCCACTCTGGTTTTGTAGAAGTGAACGTCGTTGAGTTTTTCTTTACATCGGGTCAGTTCGGTCTCCAGCCGGTCCACTCGCGACGCTTTCTCCCTCAGAGAGTCCACCTCATCACGGTACACTCTGACCGAACGAGCCTCACATGACAGAGACTGGTTCTGAACACATCCACACACACACCCAAAGAGTTAGCATCATTTTATATGCACTTTTTTTTTTTTTTTTACTACCTTTGAGCATTTTTTAGACATTTTATTTTATAAATAATGCATAATAAATAATATACAATGACACTAATTCATCTCATGCACAGATCAGGGAAAAAAAGAATAAATACGTTTACAAAGTTGGATTCATGATACTGGATATGACTGGATGACGGGGGGGCTCAGGGTGTACGAGAGACATGAGGATTAAGAAAGTGTTTAATGCTTCTTTTCAAAAATGGATCTCTGAAATGATGTCAGCCAAATGAATGGAAAAACTCAGGGCCTTAACCCGACACTGCAGGTAATGAGCGGCTCCTCACCTCTTGTTTTAGTCTCTGCAGCTCCTGATCTTGACGCTCCACTTCATGTCTTGAATCCATCAGATGCTCTGTTTTCTCCTCTCTGTGAACACACCATCATAACCGTTTAAATGTAACATTTTTCAATCCATCATCATGTTGTACAGTTAGAGGCACACCCTGCTAATGTGGACATGTGTTGATTGTAAATGAAAAGCTGTAAGTCTTTAATATATCCTTGTTTAAGAATCAGTAGAATGTGTAGAGTGCAGTGTTTGTTTAATCTCTAAATAGATGGATGGTCTGTGTTATTATAGTGTAGATCAAACCTAGACAGCGTAATAAGCCGTGTCTGGTGCATAATGACTACCAGCTGCTGCTCAGACTTTAACTAGTGACACACAGAAGTATTATGGACTCTGGGATACAAACTCTGCTCTACTGACGACTCTATCACTCTATAAATTTCTGGATATCAACTTCCTTTTTAACGATGTTGTGAGATACTCACAGCTCTTGTCTGTATTTGCGGAGCTTGGCCTTGGTGTCAGCCAGCTCCACAGACAGATGCTGCTTCTCCTCTTTGGTGAGGCCGGAGACCATCAGAGCTGATCCACCGTTAGTCAGACCTCCAGAGCTCTGCCCACGATCCGGGCTGTTCATACCCAGGTTCCTGCACCCTTCCTGGGGCTGCTGACTGTGCAGGTAGTCCCTCTCCTGGGTCAGATCAACAATCACCTGGAAAGCAAAAGTGCGTTAGGGATCCACTAAATTTGAACAGTGACTTTTCAAATGTCTCAAATTTCCTGACAGTAACGTATTATTGTGATAAAACAATTAAACTAAATGAAAAACATTTAATTCCAAGTGGCAGGAAATTGTGACTCTTATCTATTTTTTATGTAGATTTTCTTAAACATACTTTAAGTGCATAAAACCTTTTTCTGATTTCTAATACCAAAACCACTTCCATGCTTGCAGTGGTTTTTGTGGGAGTCTCTCTGTACCTCACTGGCTTTGTCTCTCTGATCAATCAGTTGCCGTAGCGATTCAGCCATAGTTTTGGACAGAGGTGTGAGCTCTTCGTGCGTGAGCTCCGATCCTTCCTCCAGCCAGGATAGGTCGAGAACATTCTGCTGGTTGTGAGTCACCTGTGACGAACAATTATCATGAAAATAAAATGTTAAAGGTTGCACATTAAACTCCTTTTCAACCAGTTCCAACCAATCAGATGTTGACAATGTCTGACAATCAAAGGTTGAGATTTTCCTTGATGACTCAAAGGGAAAAAATGCAGTCGAGATTAAACTCATGAAAGAATGTGTTTCAATCGATTACTGTTGACCGAGCTGCTGTTGCTCTTCACTGTGAGTCAATGTCAGACATGTTTCATTCTGCGTAGTTGTTGAAAGATGAGCATGACGTCGAGGCTTGACAGGAAGTTGCAGTAAACAAAGAAATTCTCGCCCCGTTTGAGATGGATGTCCGATCGGTTTTTGATGGTAAATTAAGTGAACTGGCTTCATCAGTCACTTTTAGAGTGACTGATGAAGCTGAGTTGCCTGCATTAGGGCCTACATTAACCAGGATGCATTTCGTGTCAGCAGCTGCAGCTACTCAGCTGTGAATTCTTCAATCCTGCACCCTGGCTTAATAAACACAGCTGAATATGTGAATCAGCCAAAACAATGTGTTTTCTCTCCTCCTCCATAAAATCCTCTGAACTCGTGTTTTTGATGCTATTTTTGTTGTTTCACAGTCATTTGGGATACATTATTCAAAACAAGCTAATACGATTTAACTGTCCTATCTCTAAAATTATGTAAAGAAAGCCCCAAAAATATTTTTAAAAATGTCATGAAATGATGGTGCTGGTGCCAAAAGAAAAACAGATTTTGCAGCTGTAGCCATAATAAGAATAATAAAACAAGGCCTGCATGATATGAGAAAAATATGATAGGTGGGATATCATCGTTTAATAAAAGGATAGTGATATGGAGTGCAATAAGAGTGCATATAAGCTATAACTATAAATCCATGTGAAATGATCTGTTCCCATCAGTATCCGTCCTAATTCAGCCATAAGTGAGCAAACATCCTCCATATAGAGTAGTGAACATGGTCAAAAGCGTCAGACAAAGTGGGGTCAAGTAGACTTTGATTTCAGATCTTTTTTGTCATTTCTATCCATGTCCTTACATCTGAGATCATTCATCGTGTTCAGAGCTGATTACAGTGATGGTAGGAAACCACCAGAAGAAATGTACAAACTTGTGATCCATATTTATCACATTTGTTTCTTGCATTGTGCTGCACTGACCTCCTGGATGTGAGAGACGATGGCAGCTTGCGTCATAATGTCCAGCAGCTTGATCTTCTCGATCATCTCTTCTTTACGCTCACACTGACACACAGAGGGACACACGGAGACACAAAGGAAGAAACACATTTTTAAAGTCATTTTGTGTTGCATTCACTCTCCAAAAATGTTTGAGTATTACTACTATATGTAGTTTGATGAAGACAGGGTGGTTGGCATATTCTTTTATTAGACCGCTGCTGGTTTTTGTTTGAGAAACAACATTTGCATTTTGCGTTATCCACCCTCCTCTCTCTGCCTCTGTGTTTTTATTGATTGCTCCCACATGGTTGTACTCTTTCTTAAACCAGTATAACCAGTACAGGTAGGGAGGGAAGGAGGGAGACAAAAGAAGGAAAAAAGGAGAGTGAAGAAGAGAGAAAGAGAAGAGCAGCCGCAGGGAAAAGAAAGATAAGAAAGAAGGCGGTGTGTTCAGAGCTTTGGGAGGGGTGGAAAAGAGAAACAACAAAGAGCTGAATGAACAAACACAGACAGAGAAAACACCTGAGCCCCAACCTCCCACATGAGCAGCCCCTCCTCTTTCATCCCCCGTAACCCAATTAACTCTAAACGTGTACACCTGGCATTAAACTAAAGTAAATGTAACAATGGATTTCAAAATTCAGTCTCAAACTTGTTTTTAATTTAATTACCATACACAAATATTTACCTGATGAATTGCCCTCAAGCAGAGCTCGTAAACTGTCATAGCATGTCAAAATAACCCCAAAAACTCTCATCAAATAGAAACAAAACTCTGAAGGTTATAATAGTTTATGAACCATTGATGTTTCTCCATGTGTGTTTTGATCCTGCAGCCACACCCACATGCAGTCCCACCCTGCAGCTTATCAGCAGGCTCGCTGAACGGCTCTGCTCAGACACGCAAACCAAACAGACACTTCCTGGGAGAGACTGCGTGGTACAGAAATATTCTATGATTGGGCGTGTGTGTCTGTGTGTGTGTGTGTGTGTGTGTGTGTGTGTGTATTGAACATGTTTGAGTGTTACCTGGACGGCACAGCCGAGTAACAGCAACAAAAGTCTTTTCAGCTCCTCCATGCTTTTAGCTGAAAAGCAGAAAAATTGTTGTAGAACAGTTTCAAAACAGTAAGAACAAGACAAACTTTAAGTTTTTGATGTTTGTCTGCTGGTGTCTGACGCTCTGTCACACATCAAATACTCTTCTGCTGAATCCAAACTGTGCTGTTATTTAATTCAATCGCAGTCTTCTGGCAAGTTAGAGCAAGCAAAATGATGATTTCTCCAAACTGACACACGGGATATTGACACTTTAAATCTTTGCACCACAACGTCTGTCATAATGATGACACAATGATGACAGGCAAAGTAGAGTTAAGCTCCGTTCCAAAACCAGATTTGTTTTTCAAATATCTGCTTAAAGGCAGACAATCTGCACTTTTATTCCAAAGCCATAGGATCTAAGTGTATGCATGTGTTTACATCTTTAGTTTTTCTCTGTAATCTGTTAACAATGTAACCTTAAATATTCTTCACAAGCTCTGAAATTCAAACCAACTTTTAACCACCAGAAGTAAGAAACAAGACAATCACAAACACGCCATAAATGTGAGAAAACTAATGAACAAATTATTTAAATAACAACTATCAGGCAATGGGGAAACTTTTTAGAAGGGGAAAGGAAGCCTGTTGCAAAGCATCGAAAATAAAGTGATCATCTGTTGCATGGAAGTCTCAGTGCAGAACTCGTCTATCTCTCTTTTGACCAGATCGACTCATGAGCTAAAGTGCTGCTGCAGCATTTCTGATGCTCATCCATCACTCTGGATTGGACACCATCATTGTGTGTTGAGTTGTAAGGGACCCAAAGGACCCTCTGAAATCCCATTAGAGCGGAAAAAGCAGCCGGACCGAGACGGATCTATAGAAGTCTGACTGGATTAGCATTTCAAAACACCACAAAACGTCCCTTCAACACCTTTTGTAAAACTCATTTCATGTGGGTGTTTGGCTGTGGGACTTTCTGAAGTTATTCGAACTACAATGTGGATTTGCCAACATCAATATTGGGGTTAGCAATCCTAACAAGCTAGTATCATTTATATCGTTCATTCATGGCTGAACATGTTTTTTCTACCTCATCTTGGGGAAAGAAGGATGTCACTGAAACTGGGACCAGCAGTATACCAGTAAAACAAAAGGATGGGGATAAAGTCTTCATGCCAATAATAGGCCTATAGCAGGCAGCACAGATTTGACCAGCGAGGCTAATATGGCTTACTACAAAAAACCTTTTTGAGAGCAGACCTGCTCAGATTACATCAGTTCTTTTTCTTATCAACATTTCTATTTTCACCTTTATCCAAACAGGAAACATCACAGAGGTCAAATGTGTCTGCATTGTGTTTGGGTACATGTGAGACTACATTTAGTACAATGCAGTGTACTAAATGCAGTGACTTGAATTGACTGTATTTGACTGGGTTGGAATGTGAACTTTTGAATTGAATTACCAGTGATTCATATTTAACAGTGACATGTTTATATTTTACATTGACTCAGCACTTTATTCTACTCTAATCCTCAGTCCAGGATCACTGTTGGTAATCGAATGCTGCTATATTCAGTGCATCTTACATTTCACCGTGTTAGATTTGAAAATGCATTTTTTCTTTTTTCTGTCCTGTGATGCCTCGCTGCGAAATCAATCGCCCTTCAAGTTGAGTTGAGTTAAATGTATAGTTGTGTTCTTCTTAAGGCCAGCATTTAACCTGATGATATATTTAAATGCCAAACTATACAACAGAGAATCAATACAGCCTTCATTTGTCTGATTCTGTGTCTGATATGAATAATAACATCAGCAGTTCCTGCTTCTTTCATTTAAAATCTCCAAAAGACAAATGTTTAAAATAACTTCAGGGAACTGTTTTAGTGATTTTGTTTTACACAATTCAGTGCAATAACTTCCAACATAGAGATAAATGTAACAACAGACTGAAGTACATAAATGAATCACAGCCATGATGAAGGAGGACTATCACATATACAGTATGGTTATTAGTTTAGTTATGTTTCAATGATTTATAGATGAATACCTGATAGAGGATGAATAATGTGTGGGAGTGTTTTACCTGAAAGAGGATCCTTGGCGATGCAAAGGATGTTGGGTAGGGGCATGACTATTAACTGCTGCAAGGTCTCCTGTAAATGAGAGAAGAAGAAGTTTTTAATACAAAAGTCAACATATAAACGTGGCTAAAGTCAGAAATTGCAGGAGATCGGCAAACCCCCCAAAAAAGAAAATCAACAATGTGGTTCATGTCACAACGTTTGTACAAATTTAATTCTGCAAACACATTATAACAATAAGGCTTTTATATTTAATTGAGTCTGATATCCATCAAAGTTGTATTTATTAGACTGTTCAATATGTGTAACACTTTCTGTAATGTGAACAAATCTACATCTTCATTAAGAGTATTTTATATCTTTATTTATAGGTCTAACTCAAGCAGTGTCACTGCAGTTACAGTGACACACAACTTTATTTATGGACTTATTTGTTTTGAAATCTTTGTATGTGTGGATTACTTGGGTTGTTACCGACATCTGGTGAAAATGTCATGCCAATAGCCCCATCAGAAATATATTTAATGAGAAAAATGTTGACTCGTTCAATACTTATTTTCCTTGCTGTATATATTATTGTAACTGTTTCTATATTAGATCTCCTTCAGCATTTCTGTAGTGTCATATTCTTCTAATTTATTGGCTAATAAGAACCCTAAACATCTGTTGTGATGTCCAAAAATCAGTGGATATGTTAAGGCAATTCAACACATCTTTTGCATTTGATAAATCCTGCCTAAATAAGGACTTAAAACTTTCTTTGATTTTTGTAAACAACAGATTCTAAACACAAAGATCATCTCTGATAAATCCTGCAGCACATCACAAGATTTATAGCTTTGTGTCTTTGTGTCCTTAAACTTACAATAAACTCAACACAGTGATTAACTGGAGTGTATTGTAAGTAAAAGAGTGGTGTGCAGCAGTTCTCTCTTCTCTAGCCTGGGCATATTTCCTGCTAAATGCGTGCTCACAAAAAAATTGAAGTCAAGATTTAAATGTCTGAACACGGTCAAATAAAAGATACCACTTACAAACACTCCAAAAGAAAATCAAACACAGGACTTTCCTCATTTATCTGACCAGTGACTTCTCAAAGGAGAAAAAGGAGAAACGTGCAGAGAGGTAGACAAAATATGTCGAGCATGTTAAGCAGTACTCTCTCCTGTAACAGCAGCTTGTGTTTAATGACACAAACAAGAGGGTGGAAGCAGAGCTGAGAATATCTGCAGCACCTGAAGATGGTCTTGTTTTTTTACACGAGCTTCTCAGCTTTGACTAAACACATTTTGTAGAAATGAATCAAAGTCCAGCCACCATCTGACCCAGACATGTGTGTGTGTGTGTGTGTGTGCATGTGTGTTTAGGCGAGCAGCCAACAGGAAACACAAAGAGAGTGTGTGTGTGTGTGTGTGTGTCTGAGTCAGGAAAGAAACAGCACGCTAGGAGGGAATACTTTCCATACCAGAATATCCTCTCCTGCTGCCTCCCAAAAAACACACCTGATTGTTCAGACGGGCCAAGAGAATACGACACATTCATTATATTCACATTAACACTAATAAAATCACTTTATTCAGAGCATGGCGGGAGGGCAGAGATGCAGGGTCTTTATCAAAACATGTCATTGTATGCCAAAGAAAACTGATTTAAAGTGATGAAAGATGACGAGGGAATAAGGTCACAAAGGAAGACATGGAGGTGAGAGAAAGGACACATGAGAGGAGGCATGATGATGACCCTTGGCTAAGACGAAGGGAAATATACAACTGGGAATGTGTGTGTGTGTGTGTGTGTGTGTGTGTGTGTGTGTGTGTGTGTGTGTGTGTGTGTGTGTGTGTGTGTGTGTGTGTGTGTGTGTGTGTGTGTGTTTTGGGCTAAGGGAAGCGACTGTCAGCAGGGAAGGGCTGTCTGGAATAATACACTCAAAAGCCCAGCACACACCTGCACACACTCAACACCTCACACAAAGGAAAGATAAAAAACATACATGTGAGGTGTTGGTGGTGTTATTCTCTGGAAAAGAATCATTTACACGTATGGGAAGATCACGCTGAATTGTATGCCTGAAGGTCAGTCGGAAAAAATTATCCAGGAGAAAACCATGACTGTAAATATTAATGGATGAAGCCTGAGTGACGTCAGCCATCTGTTCCTGCAGGGGGCGCTGGAGGCTCATCAGCAGCAGCCGCCATGCTGGAAATCCTGTCTCAGTCTAACTTTCAGTCAACCTAACGACAGGCTGAGAGCTGGAGCTGAGGCAGGTTTTTAAGCCTCCTGATGTCCGTTACATCATGCCTACCTGTCAATCAAGTCAGCTACGCGCCTAAGTATGGCTAACACGTATCGTTTCATAAAATCAAAACGGATGCCTTGTAACAAAATTCACTGCCCGTACAGTGTATGCCCATGAAGTCAATAATAAATCAAACCAATACTGTTTTTTGCACCAGGCTGTAAACATGTAAAAACAGACTTTTTTAAACGTGGTGAGTATGTGACTTCCTGAGCTTCTGCAGCCAGCCTCTAGTGGACACTCGATGAACTGCGGGATTTTGCACTTCCACATTGGCTTCATCTTTAACACCGGAGGTTGCCGCTTGGAGAAAAAAAGACTTTACGACTTGAGTGATTTGGATGTGATGCATGAAGTGGAAACTGAGTCCAATTTTCTTTTGCACTTTGTACACAATGTAATGAACTGAGAGAGTTATTGTTTCAGGAAACAGCTCGTCAAAAGCCTGAAATAAGGTAGAGGCCAGATGAGCAAAAACTGAAATGTCTGTCACAGTTTAATGTGTTTAAGCTAAATTTGTCTCAAAAGGCTGGAAGAGAAGACGAGACAGTCGGTTTAATTAGTGTTTCTTTTGTTTTCCTTTTCTTCTTCTGTTCCATGACAACGAATAGATCAACTATCCCGTACTTTTAAATTCATGGTGTCTTATAAATGAGTGACAAAATAATAAAATGTTAAAACTTAAACTGCATTTCTTTAATGTCTTTGTATTTATTTAACATTATAGTCTACAGTGTCATCTGCTAACCAGCCATATAAAAGCACTATCATCTTACACCACAGATACTACTGGGCTGCACACAGACAGCTTCCAGGCAGTGAAATACCAGCAGATAGTGTTACACACCAGCTATACGCCAGGAGGTAATGAGAGACCAGTCACACACACACACACACACACACACACACACACACACACTGTGGTGAATAAAACATGTGCACAGGCTACCAGATGTCTTGAAGGCACAGCATGACTCCAGCTGACACACACCGTCAGTCTTGAAGCTTTGGCAGGAAGTTTTTGGAGATTAACTTGAAGACTAAAAACTTTATCATCTCCAAAATGTTGAGTTCAATAAACTTCTGGTCAGTCACAATCCAGCAATCAATGAGTTTACACAAAGGTTATTGAGGCTGTGGCGGGCTATAGAAAGTCAATGCATCATGTAATACATCATCCAGCAGAGGTCGGGCCTCCAAAGTGAATGGGGGGGGGTTGTTTGGGTGGTGAGCCACAGGGACTTTAACTCTGGGCTAGGATCCTCTGTACATGTGGGGTCAAAATTAAGTTCCTGGGACATTATTTTTTATTTAACACCCCAGAAAGGTCTCTGCTCTACTTACGGCATTTCATGTCAGCCAACAATTTTTAAAAAAAAATCAGCGTCTTCAGAAATCGTTTATTGCACTCCGACAGATAAATTATGTTAAAACAAAAGATCACTTAGGACAAATGGGAACACAACAAAGTCCAGACCTATTAAGCATCTTTGCTAAGGACTAAACCAAGCACAACTAAAAACCTGCAATGATGATGGATTATTATTTTTTCCCCCTCTTTTTGGAGGTCTTCAGATCATGAAAACGCAGCCGATAAAGGGCTGAAGGAACCTTTGTGGTCCTTGAAAGTAGATACTGTGTGAAGTAGACAGTTCCTTGTTTGATCTTGACAACATTAAAATCTAAAACCAACACATGTGCTTAAGAGAAAGAAAAGAAAGAAATGCTCTCTCACACTCTGTGATGTGTTCATTTGGACAATAAGATGAAGGTCTGAGGTCACTGCTAACTAGCTGGTTGTTTATTATAAATGAGATGGATTGAGTTACACTTTGCTGTCACCTGATGCACCTGCGCTGCAGAAAATAAAAATAATCTACAGTATGTGCTGCATATTTCATTACTGCAAGCACTCTGTGTACACAAGTTAAATAGGACGATTATGTGAATACGTTGAAAGTCAATGTCTAATCAAAATGCATCCTCTTTCTCTCTGTGTGTGTGTGTGTGTGTGTGTGTGTGTGTGTGTGTGTGTGTGTGTGTGGTGTGTGTGTGTGTGGTGTGTGTGTGTGTGTGGTGTGTGTGTGTTAATCTGTGAACTAGCGATAGCTCAGATCTATAGATATTCTCCTGCAGCAACATCACCAGCAGGATCTAACACTTAAAAGTGACAAGGGATCAATACAGCCTGCTACATGACCCATTTACACTCACACTCACGCACAAGGCCTAAATCCATGCCCCACTAACACACTGGGCTCACATTTCTAATCCCAGATCAATAAAATGGTGGCAGTGAGCTAACCAGAGATCTGAATGTGACGCTGATGCTGCAGAACTTTCTCACCACTTTTCTCTGCCTTAAAATCCAAAACAAACCCACTTAGACCTCAGAACTTTTAGATTAGTCGAGTACATTTAGAAAGCCAAATATCACATCAATGTCAAAGTGGGCTATAGAGGCAGACATCCGCACAAAAATATCTTCTAGTTATATCACTCTGTATACATAAAGAAAGAAGCTGACAGGATGTTGATCAAGAAAATGATGCAGCGAATAAGAGCTGATGGAAGAGCTGATTCAGTCTAATGTTTAAAAAAGGTTTGAAAAGCTGTTGAGTCTTGAGAATCAATAAACACGTCAATGAA